TTCTGCCTAAGTGTAAAACCTTGCTTTCCCCCACATTTTCCACAAATCATAGCCTTTATATTTCTGGGTTAGGAGATATAAATATTTTGCATCTTCTTTGCAGAACATAGAATTTCAAATTGGTACCAAGAGTGAGGGACGCGTGAGAAAAATATATTTGATGTTCTACTCTTGCCTTCAGCTAGAGATCCCCAATGTTTTGAAGTTAGGAACCAACTTGGAATTTTAACTGAACCTAATTGACACCAAAATCACCTTCTCAAAGTTTTCTGTTTACGGTGTCCATAGATCCATGGATAGAGATTGATACTGTGAACGGGGCTTTTCAAGTTCCTTATGAAAAAAAAATATTGAAAAAGTTCCTTATCTAAGTCTCCTAGCAGTCATGGGATAAGAAGATTTTTTATGTGGTGAAATCAGAAAGCAAGAAATAGGATTAATTAGTGGGGGTAAGGGTTCTTGGGAAAGGAATTTAAAAATTGCTGCTTTTAAATTGTTCATAAATTATTTTGACTTGAAAGCATTGAACATTCCTGGATGATAGCAACCTTTTCAAGGAATCAGAAACCAAAATGATTCTGAACCATTCCAGAAAGATTACTTTGAATCCAGTGAAAGGTCAACAGAATAGCAAAAGCCATTTGTAAGTAAGAAACAACCTGGGTCAGATGTTTTGGCTGGCCCACCAAACAGCTGCCATCAGCCTCCTCTTGGTCTAGAGATAGTTTTGCCTGACATTGGGGGCCTTTTGTAGCACAGAGGTCAGGTAAACTTATTATCTATAGAGCTGTAGTGATGCAGTGGTTAGAGTGCAGTACTGCAGGCTACTTCTGCTGACTGTCGGCTGCCTACAATTTGGCAGATCGAATCCCACCAGGCTCAAGGTTGACTCAGCCTTCCATCCTTCCGAAGTGGGTAAAATGAGGACTCAGATTGTTGGGGGCAATAGGCTGACTCTAAACCGTTTAGAATAAGCTGTACAAGCGCTGTGAAGCTGTATATAAGTCTAAGTGCTATTGCCATCTTGTACGTTGTATAAAAATGAAGCAGGATGATTCAGCTTCTCTAGAGCAGGTCTAGTTATGAGTCATGGCTGCCCCTGGTCAGGCTTCAGAGGGTGGGATTCAGACAGCCTCCTCCTCCTCTTTGCAACTGGGTCTACTTTAAAGGGACGATGCACCACAGTTCCTTCTCTTGGGGAAATTCACGAACATGAGAATCCAATTTTAATATTCTTCTCTTGCCTTCAGCTAGAGCTCCACAATGTTTTTAGAAGAAGTTAGGTAAAAGCAAGAAATGTGGGGGAATTGAGAGGGTTGTCTGAAGCTGGACTTGGCATGCCATTCTTAATGTTTTACACATGGGCTTTGAAGATCTCCTCAGCAGAAACCCAAAAGTGTTTTTTTTTTCCAAAAGGCACCTGGACTTTCTTGTTTTTTTCTTTGAAAACACTTCATTTCTTACCCAAGAAGCTTCCTCAGTTCAGTGAAGAAGCTTCTTGGATGAGAAGTGAAACGTTTTCAAAGAGAAAAAAGAAAGGAAGAAAGTCCAGCTGCCTTTTGGAAACCTACTTTTGGGACAACCGTGACCTGGAAGACTGAGAATCTCCACAGGCATTCCTCGAAGAAAGGACAGGTAGAAGAACTAGGCCAAGATAGAACGTTTTAATGTACCATTGATTCCAGAGGTCATGTTTCGTCAAAGGGCTTGTCACCACCGTAATTGCAGGTAGTCCTCAAGTTACAACAGTTCATTTAGTGACCATTTGAAGTTACAACGGCACTGAAAAAAGTCACTTATGATCGTTTTTCACATTTATGACCATTGCAACATGCCCATGGTCACATGATCAAAATTCAAACTCTTGGCACCTGACTTGTGCTTGTGACAGTTGCAATGTCCCAGGATCATGTGACTACCTTTTGTGACTTTAACAAGCAGAGTCAATAGGGAAGCCAGAGTCACTTAACATCTGGGTTATTAATTTTACACCTCCAGTGATTCAATTCAATTCAAACCTTTGTCGGAGTACAAACATGTGTACAATAAGATTGGCTGAGCCTCCCTTCATGCAAACCCCCCCCCCAACACAATACAACTCACAGTGAAAGACCGACAAAAAATCCCTAGCCCAGTGAATCCTACTAAGTCATTAAGATTCACTTAACGACCGTGGCAGGAAAGATCATAAAATGGGGCAAAATTCACTTAACAAGTGTCTCACTTAACAACAATTTGGGTTCAATTGTGGTCGTAGGTCGAGGGCTACTTGTATTAATTCTTGCCACTTTGACTCTTGGCAGTTA